ATTGTCTAATGAGTCCATAAATAATTTATTAACACTTGTAATATGAAAGTTGTGTATATGATAGAATAGTTTACATACTTAAAAAGGTATCAATATTTTTCAAAAAAGGTTTTTTTAAGGGAGGGCACAATGTTGCCGAGGGGGGGCAAAAATATTTTTTTGCGGGGCACAAATACTCTCGTACGCGACTTTTATTTCATGAATATGATCTGTGTAAACCTACTAATTTTATACCAAATTGTATACATATAGATTTTCGTATAATATTGACACAGCTTTATATCAGCTTTTCGAGACAGAAACATCAGACAGAACTCTCATGGGTTTCTATCAACTCCTAAAAGCTTAGGTTTCAGCCTTTACCCCCTTTCATTTCTCATTTACAGTACCTTTCAGAAGTAAAATTTAAAAGCTAAAACTGGTACTTGATCAGTTATTTCAATGCGCGTAGGTTGATAGATTTTGTGTACTTCTTACAAAAAAGTACAATATTCCCTAAAAATGTTTGTACCCATACTTTATGAATAAAATGGCAATAAACAATATAGTACAAACCCAGAATGAACCACCCTGTTTCTCTTTAAACTGGATATATCTGGTCAGTAAAATATTTAACAGTTAGGAAGATGGATGGGCGGATAGTTCAACAAGATTTACATTGCTTTAGGCCAATGTTAGGTCCACCTAAGACCATATAACAAATAGTCTAGTTTGGAATTTGACCCCCCCCCCCTCACCACACACTCAGTATTCAGCATCGAAATTCAAGGGCACATTGTCCGGAATTTGTTGGTAAAACAAAATAGAACGTATGACAAAAAATCAAAATTGTCACGTTTTCCTAACATTTTCGTTAAAATTCCTTCCCTCTCCCCAACAAATTCTTAAAAAATAAATATTTATTCGTTTTCAGCAAAGGCAGGATTACATTTTTGCTAAGTAGTTTAAAGGATTTAAAATTAACGAACGTGCACAGATCTACAAAAGAGCGCTTTATAATTTATATTCATTCATTCTTGTTATATAGAGTGCGTGCACAAATATTGAGAATTATTCTTAAACTTGATTTTAAATATATAACAAAACAAAACGTATTGATATATACTGGGTGAGACAGAAAAACCATTGTTTTACTCCAATATTATATAAGTAGCTGAATTGCCCGGCGTTGCCGTGGAATTTTAGAAACACTAGGGAAAAAGTTTCGACATATAAAAAAATGGATTTGGATCCGGATCCAGGTCATTTACTGAATCTTTTACACAAAGCAGAATTTTCAAATTTTGTCCTGTTTTTTTTCACTTATTTTTAGGCTAAAACTTGATTAACCATTCAGACATCAGGAAATTTTAATTCTATTGTTCTGAAGCTGAAACATATATTCAGAGACGCAGAAAGCTGAAAAATGCACAATTTCATTCCCAATAATGTTTGTAGCTTTGGTTACAAAAGTAAGTATTTATCTTATTATGTTTGATTATTAATGATATTTAATTGATCAAAGAGTGAAATTTTTTGAAATTTTAGAAGGTAGACATTTTTAGATGAAACTGCCAAATACGCATTAAGGACTTTTTGAAAGATTTCTTAGCAAATGGAGAGGGGAAAAAAAACACCGAAAGCGAAATTTCAATCTCTGCAAAAGTAACTGGCGCATTTCTTGCATAGAAATGAAGGAATTTACAGAAATTAATATACATTTTATGAGTCGGAAATACGAGGTTATCTTCCACAGTTTTGAGCAGATTACGGTTTTATGAGTACCGTTGTAAATCGGATATTGCCATCTTTTTTAGTTTGTATGGAGGGTCGCTTAAAATTGCGCTTACAGCCCCTTTAATAACGTCTGAAAGACAGTTCTGATGTTGTATTAAAACACAATAAAAATTTTTTACGGTCAGTAGTGCATGAAGTGTAATAAGCTTTGCGAGTTTTAGCGCATTATTTTTTGCGCAAAACCGGAAGTATTGCGCAAAACGTAAATTTTTACGCAAAACATGCTATTGCAAATTGACCAAAATTGACAGTTTCAGAGAAATCAACAACTGAAGGTTCATTCAAAAATTTACACAGAAATAAGTTATGATTCTGCTGATCTCAATTGGTTACTTTTAGTTACACAAATGGAGGGACAAAAACTCTAAAACAAAAATTATAAATTTGAAAATTGAAAATTGTTGCATAGTTTATATAGATGTCTGAATCTGTGTGTGGTCGCATTGTGTTTCTGTCCTATATAGATGAATTCCTACTGTTTAAGGATGATGTTGAAAGATAAAAGACGAGATTTAGGAATAACTTCTAAAAATTATTTTAGATTTTTTTATATAACTCAGAAAAATATTTTTCGAAGCAAATATTTTCACATGAAATGTACATTTGTACGCTAAGTGTCAAAAATTTACAAGCACAAATGTACTTAATTACAACAATGTTAAATCTTGACTTTGTTTAAGTATCATTTAATTTTTGGTTTTAGCGGGAAACATTTCGAAAAATGATCCGACGCAGAATTTCTTCTGGGGTAATTACTCGTTTCAGCCTTCCTTTGTACATCCTTGAAATCATCTCTAGATTATCTGGTGCTATATCAATTGGACTAATGGTCGAATGGACTAACTCTCAATTTTGCTTAAGTCAGCTGTTCACTTACGGAATTTGTGCTTTAGCCTGTAGTATATAAGTTTTAACTTGGCTTATAATCATATAGAAAGATTGTTTCAAGTGCAATTTGATTTCATTTTTATCTAAAATATGAATTCTGCTTTTTTTTACCAATCCTGTATTTTTGGAAAGCCATGCAAATATTATTTAGATTTTTTTTAAGGCTTATGTTAAAAATAATTATCATCATTTGCATAAAGACGATAACTCATCTGAACAGCTTCAATTTTTAATGTTTAAAGATAAATTATTAACTATTTGTTTTTCTGTATATAAAGATTTAATTATGGATCAATAATAACCTAATTTGAATAACCTGAGCTGGGAACTTTTGAATGATGGATATCGGGATTAATGCTTGATCCTCTCTTTTTCTTGATCTCGAGATTAAATATTGCTTGTTCTCTTCTTACTTTTAATCTTGAGATTAATTTACCGATCGAGATTAAGGATATCCCAATCTAAAGTTTTCAGCTCTGAATAAATTCAAAGTATGTTAAATGCTTTTTTATTCCCGATATGTGTCGTAAAAAAGGAATTTAACATGCATATGATTGAGATATCAAATCCATGTTCACCAAGATAAAGATAACACTGAAACTTAGTAAATACATTTTATAACAGCCTCGATTTTGAAGTGTCACAACTCAGTGATACTTTCTTTGTAGGTCTAGACATATGCATTTTAAAAATGCTAGGCGTCTGTTTCTATCTCAAGTTTTAAATGAGTAATTGGCAAAATACTTCTCGACTTTTGTGTGAGATCGTGCATCAGGTTTTAAATTGAGTTTTAGGCAAGTAATCATTTCCTTTTGTAAGCATTACAATTATATGGAAAAAAGTACAATCTGATAGATAACTACTTTATACAGTTTACACCTTCATTCAACCTTTTACTGAGAATTTGTTCCGCAAAATTGCGGAAAACAGAATAACTTAAAAGCGGAATAGCGCAATATTTTTTCGCGCAAAAATGTAGCGCACCGAAAGCAAAAATTTGCGCTTTCTTTCGCAAAAGGTTTGCAAATGGAAGCCTTACGTCAAAGATTTGGTGTGTAAGACAATATGAAAGACGATCCGATTTAAATGGATGTCTTGATTCAAGAATTAAAAATAAAGAGAAATATATTTTCCGATATACCTATTTCTTTGATTTAAATTTTGTTTAAGATTTTTAAAAAGATTAGTAAAAAACTACATATAAATTTATGATTAGCAGTGAAAACTGTAGAATAAGCGAAGACATTAAAGCAATATTTAAGTGTATTTGATGTTGTTACAACGGAAATAATTTTAGTATCTTAAAAACCACTGATTAAACATAATGGTTTGTGCAGTGTGCAGTGCACACTGCACACTGTACATTAACCAATTACTGTGGCTCATGTACAATTTTACAAACAATAACTTTTGTCCAAAAGTCGTCTTCCTACTCCATTCTGGATCAAACTGTTATATTGTATTATTTATGTAAATAAATATATTTAATATGTTGATATATGAAAGACGATCCGATTTAAATGGATGTCTTGATTCAAGAATTAAAAATAAAGAGAAATATATTTTCCGATATACCTATTTCTTTGATTTAAAATATTAAATTTTGTTTAAGATTTTTAAAAAGATTAGTAAAAAACTACATATAAATTTATGATTATCAGTGAAAACTGTAGAATAAAAGACGAAATTAAAGCAATATTTAAGTGTATTTGATGTGGTTACAACGGAAATAGCTTTAGTATCTTAAACATAATGGTTTGTGCAGTGCACACTGCACACTACACACTGCACATTAACCAATTACTGTGGCTTATGTACAATTTTACAAACAATAACTTTTGTCCAAGTGACGTCCTTCTACTCCATTCTGGATCAAACTGTTAGATTGTATTTTTTATGTAAATAAATAAATATATCTAATATGCTGATCCGTTGTCTGTTTTCAATAATTGGCTGAATCAAATGAGACGTTTGCCATTTGCCGTTAGCTATAAAAATGTGTTTATTTTCTTTCCCGTCCATAAGATTTACTATTACTACATCTTCAATAATTCAATTTCTATTAAATATTCAAGAAATAATTAAATTGCCAAAAAAAACAACAAAAGGTTGAGTAGCGCAGAAAGAGTGGCGCAATGAGGCATGAACTTTAGAAAAAATATGTATGAACTAACTAAGGATAAAAGTTTGTACACGTTTAAATTGCTTAAAGCTAATGAAGTAAACTAGATTAGGTTAGAATAATCTAAGGTTGAAAAAGTTTTGAAAAATATGTTAAAACCCCCGTAGGTTAGTTTCCTTTTGGCCGGTTTACGTGGAATTAAACATCAACTTACATGATTCTGGTTTTAAGAGAGTCCTCTCCGCGCAGTCTCAGGTTCTCCTCTTCAATCTCCGTCGGAGGAAAATGTTCCTCTGTCTGCGGTTCGGCGGCGTGGCGGCGTTTACGCCGAGAGGCCAAACGGCGTTTTCCTCTCACCTCACCCTTAATTTAGTACTGAAGTTAAATGAAGGCTATTTTTCAGTTTCACAATCTTAAATTGAAATGTCTATTTATCTTAATTATTGTCCACCCATTTTAACAATAAAAATACCACATAGTAACAGTCAAATTGCCTTTAATACTAATAACTATCTTGGTCCCAAAAACCTGCCAAAAAAAAAGTTTAACACAGGTCTGCCACAACAGCTCTTAAAGGGTTTGATAAGGAATACCCAAAAGAGATTAGATATATAAAAGTATAAGTGTAATTACGCCGAAAGAAGATTAAAATTGCTATTTTGTTTTACTGTTTCCATACTGCAAGTTTTCTTAACACATTTGTGCCTTGGGCCTTGGAACATCTTTTAAAGGAAAAAAATTTAGAAAAGTTTTACATTTTATCTAAATAAATTCTCTTAAAACCTGTAATGCATTCCCGAGTTCATTTCAGTATAAGCTATACTCTAAATTCTCGAGTTCATTTCAGCATAAACTTTTTAAAGAGAAGAAATTATAACGGATATGTCAAGGGATCAAACTGTATTATTGTGATGTACGGCGTATAATTGGTGAAAATTTACGTGAATTTTACACTTTGAACTCCTTTTCAGGGACGGAACAAAATTCATACCGAGGGATAGTCTTTTTCCCTTCTATTATAATCTCTGTTCTGTGGGAATATCCAATTTCATTTTTTTGCGATATAAAAATGTTTTATGTTTTGTTTCTTACATGAACTTCCGGATCCCTAGTTCCCGATTCCTCCTCAATCCGGTTCCTTTTCTTCCGAATCAATTTCCTATAAATCAAGCAATAACCAATCAATTATGAATCGATTAAGAATCAATTACGAATAAATTACGAATCCATACTGGATCAATAATCAATCAGTCTAATTAATCAGTTCAATCAATCAGTTCAGTCAATCAGTTCAATCAATCAGTTCAATCAATCAGTTCAATCAATCAGTTCAATCAATTAGTTCAATCAATCAGTTCAATCAATTATCAATCAATTATCGATCAATTATCGATCAATTATCGATCAATTAGCAATCTATTAGCAATCTATTAACAATCAATTATTAATCAATTAGTTATCAATTATCAATCATTTATCAATCAATTATCAATCAATTACTATTCGATAATCAATTAATCAGTTCAGTCAATTATTAATAAATTTCTTATCAATAAGCAATCCATTATCAATCAATTATCGATCAATTATCGATCAATTATCGATCAATTATTAATCAATAATCTATCAATTATGAATCGATTATGATTCAATTACAAATAAATTACGAATCAATACTGAATCAATAATCAATCAGTTCAATCAATTATGAATCAATTACGAATTAATGACGTATCAATTTATTATAAATCAATTATCAATTAATTATGAATCAATTATGAATCAATAATCGATCAGTTCAATCAATTATATCAATAATCAATTATCAATCAATATAATCAATTCAAACTAATCAATATCATCAATAAATGAAATCAATCGATAATTAATCAATACTGAAAAATCCCTAAAAAAAATAACCTGAGTTCTGCCTCTGATTCTGGATTCTGAGTTTCATGTCCGTTAAGTAAATCTAGGAAGAGTTTGAGTCCGGCAGCATCTTCGTGGAGTGTACTGCGTACTGGCAGATCAGTTTCATCCCTACAACAACAAACAATTAGGAGCGTCCAAAGGATTTATTGTCCGGGGGAGGGGTTAAGAAGTCCATATAACGGAAGAATTTCCTAAGCCCATTAATCCCGGCGAGGGGTGGAGGGTATTTGTAGGTACTCGTGGTGGGAATTGATCATACCAACCCCCCCCCCCCCTCTATTTTTAGTTTAAGGGGATATAAAAACAGTCACAACTTATCTTCCCAATTTCGTAACATTTACATTTCGAATTTTTATATAAGGCTACATTTATTTAAAGCAGCATATAAAGTTTAAATATTCTACACAGAAAAAAAAAACATGTGTAGACAATAGAAATGAGAATAAGATTCATTACATAGCGTTGAAACCAGAAATTATGCGGCCTTTAGCCCTGTGATAATCAACCGCGTTCCATACTTTGGAACCGTAAAACAAATTTCCGAATTCAAATTCCAAGGATGATCGGATTTAAGTAGCAAAAAAAAACATTAGAGTGTTCACCCAGAGGCCGAATTAAAAGAATTTGAGCCGCGTCAAAATTAAGACCCGGCTCAAACATGGTTGGTTCCACTTGAAATTGTTTCAGTATTTCGAGATTTGAGCCGGCGCTCAATTGTAACCGGTTTTAGGCGGTTCAGTGACGCGGTTTAAGTTCTTTAAATTCGGCCTCAGATCTCTTCTGGATAAATCATGAAATCAGGGAAAATTATAACAAAATTTAATATGAATTTTATGGGTTGGTTTAATAGGTTTGTTTCTACCTATCCACTGTATCTCTGGCTTCGAACCTCCTCTCCCGGCCTCCAGAGTTCCGAACCCGTCGTTTAGGAATTGCTCCGCCGTAAGAGTTTCCACAAGCCCCCAGACTCGCCTCAACTTCTTCCAGTTTATTCAACAATGTTCTAAAAATAAAACTTGACATTGAAAATTATTTGCATGGTCCCGGCCGCGACTCGTTCTTTATCAGGTCAATTATGTCTCAAGCGTAGAGCCATCACTTAAAGAGTAACTGCAAGTACTGGCATTCTCCGAATTGCAACGGTACCCTTTGAAACCTTTAACTGAGCAATAATGTGGAAGATTGTGTCGTTTTTCTAGGTTTAAAGGCGTTTAATTCTGATAATTTCAATAAGTTTTTCTACAGTGGAAAAAAACTTTTGTAGAGAAACCTCAAACCACCATTGAATATAAATCAGTGTTCACAATTTTGAATTATTAACACTAATGACAGAAAACGATGTTGTGAATTGCCATCTTTGCATGAAGAATCTCTTGATATTTCGCGTACAGTCCCTTTAATTAATAACAGTCCCTTTAATTAATAACAGTCCCTTTAATTAATAACAGTCCCTTTAATTAATAACAGTCCCTTTAATTAATAACTGCCCTTTACTCGACTCTTGCCCCTGTAATAACATAATTAGTTTTTAAGATTAAAAGGCAAATCCTGATAAATTCCCCCCCCCCCCCCACCATCTGCAAATAAAGTTGATAAATTGTCCCTAAGCGAATTTTCTGTTTTTCCATGTTTAGTTGACATTGCAATACAATAAAAGATAAGTTAACTACTTTACTGTCCATTACTGGTAAATAATGTCAATTTAATTACAAAAACAAACTATCGAATAGAATTGTCGATATTTTATACATTCTTAAATTTCTACCAGAATAATTCACACAAAAAATTCTTTTAAGTGTCCTTAGAAGTTCCAAGGGACTGTTCAAAATAATAAATAATTTTACCTAGTTTCGGTATCAGTCCCACTTGATCCATGGCTTGAGTCCCGGGATTTTACTGGTAAAGAATCCTGAGCACGTGGTAAATCACGTGTTTGTAAACTGGATTCCAGCTGTCTAACCACCCGCTCTTCATGACTCCCAGCTGGTACCTTCAACAATATTATTATAAAACGGGGGAAGTAAAAAAAGAAACCCTAGGAAGGAAACTAAATATGGATATTTAAGCTACAGTGTTACTCACAAAGCATGAGACTTCAGGGACGACTGTACAGAATTTTGTCATTCTTTTGCGTTAAAATCGTAGTTCCCTAAAGCAGTAAACTGGTTTCGTTCTTTGGTAAATCATTTAATAAATCTATAACTGACTACATTCCAATTATACGCCTAAGTTCAACCCTCGGCTCGGTAAAATTTAAATAGCTTTAGGTCGTTATTCAAGTCTCATCCTTTGTTGGTAAACCATGGAACATAGAAGGGTAAATTGGACAGGAAAACAGCAACAAAAGGTTTGGTAAAATATTTTTAGAAATCCAAGATGCAATTTCTATAGAATTGACAGTTGGCTGATAAATGAGTTGTTCAATATTCTTCACCTTTCTTTCAGTATTTGTAAGGATATAACTCAGGGCTAAATATTTTCTTTAAATCTTTCGAATTTTAATTCTGTCTTGTACTATGAACAATTAACCTGTTTTGGGGAGTTCGGTGGTTCATCGGGTTCAGAGTCTGAAAACATCCAGTCCATCCTCACATTACTTAGAATAGAGGCCGTTTTCTCAACCTCATCCCTGTCTATCTCTTCAGTCCTTGTAACCTCGTTCTCAAGCCTTATAGGGCTCAAGGTGGAGGTTGTTTCATTTTTCTCGTCAGTCTCATTCTTGATATGATTATCATCATTCTCATCATTCATATTCGTTTTTTCCTTCTTATCCTTCTTATCCGTCCCTTCAATCTCCTTATTCTCCTGCTTTAGCTCCTGTTCTGTCTCCTTCTCCTCCTTCTCTTGCTCTTGCTCCTGCTCCTGATGAGTTTCCTTTTCTTCCTCCTCCATATTATCATCTGAGAGCTGAACTTGAACAGCAACAGTATTCTCTCTTGTATCCCAATCATTAGAAGAGCCTGAACAAGAGAAACAAAATTAAAGAGAGACCACAAGGAATTCAAAGTCCTGACAGATTGCTTTTAAGCCCCTGAACCTTACACCATACTAAATCTATAATGTTAGGCTTTTTCAGTCATGGCCAAAAATCCTAAAAATCTTGGAAACAAAAATGATATATTGACCAAATAAATATTTTCTCTTATGGATTCGAAGAATGTATGTGCATTGTGCAAAGTTAACCATTTGTCTCTATTATTACAAAATTTGTTACAAATTACTAAAGTTTATAGATACATTTTGTATTTTAAAGGTTTTCGTTGCTAAAAAAATTATTTCTTGCAATACAGCATGATTTACACCTTTTTGGCTTGATTTTTCAGAAAAAATTAATTCAAATACACATTTTTCATTGAAACTTTCACATTTTCCATTTAAAAAAGGGTAAGTATTAAATAAATAACCAATAAAAAAACCTTAGACCCAGATTTTTTATAAATTACCTATCTCTGAGATATCCAGGATATCAGCATTATGTGAGCTGGATACACTTTCTGTTTGGTGGATATCTAGCCCTGTATCCTTACTGCCGGATGGAGTAGAGCAGACAATCAATCCTTAACAAAATAATTTCAGAAAATTCAAGATAAGTTGGTTTGCAGGAGGGCAGGGGTGTGTATTATTTTTAGGATTAGCCCCTGGGGAAAAATGTATAATTGGACATCAAATAGCAAGTTTTTTTCAAACCCCTAACCCAAAAATTTACCTATTTTCCCAAAATCAGTGATTAAGACTCTAAAAAAAAGATACATACATTTTTCAAGAAAATCTACACCCCTGTAGAACGGAGACTTACTGTTGAATTGGATAGAGAAAAAGACACTTTAAAATTATTATATTTCAAATTCAGCATGTTTTTAATGTATTCTTCTAAAGAATTAAGTTAAATTTAAGTAAACTAACAACTTTTTTCATCCCAACACTGTCTATAACTTAGCAAAAATTGTCTCAAGAAAATGTTGCTAAAATTGTGCATACTATTTGGGATATGAAAAAAAATCCCGGAACCCAAAGATGAGTGTTCTGAGACCTTCGAGGCCGGAGATATTGCTCCGGAAAGTTTCCGATATTTCGAGATTTCGAGGACGGCCTCTATATTTCAAATGGCTCTAACTTTTTTGTTTTTAATTTTCAAAAATTTAATAAAGATCGAATTTTGATGGAGACAAATATTTGAAATTTTGATCATTCATAAACCTTCCCTGTGGTCACGTGATGTCCCACAAAAAAATTGGGCCCGATCGGTTCAGCCGTTTTGACGTTTATTGGATACAAACAAACAGACAGACAAGCCAAATTTATATATAGATTCTTCTACAGAATTAAGTTAAATTTAAGCAAACTAACAACTTTTTTCATCCCAACACTGTCTATAACTTACCAAAAATTGTCTCGAGAAAATGTTGCTAAAATTGTGCATACAATTTGGGATATGAAAAAAAAACCCGGAACCCAAAGATGAGTGTTCTGAGACCTCCGAGGCCGGAGATATTGCTCCGGAAAACTTTCCGATATTTAGAGATTTCGAGGACGGCCTCTATATTTCAAACGGCTCTAACTTTTTTGTTTTTGAAGATAGATCCAAAATTTTTTCAGTTTTGAATAGGTTATTTCTAGTTTCAGGATCATAGAAAAATGGCAAATAGTATGTAGATTGTAGATCATTTGAATTTACACTTTACATGATTTTCAAATACAATCCTAGCAAATTTGGACAATCTAACAGAAATTATTTTACAAATTTCAAAATCTAAAAATTTCGGGAAACGTTTTGGAAAAGTGTAAAATGTTCCACCTGATATATTTGAGTCCACACTTTTCCTCCTGGTACTACTTCTAGGTTCTTTATCTAGATGTTTTTCTAAAGTTTCAGCTGAATCCTCGTCACACGTTCCCATGTCCTTTAACAACTATAATCAGTGCCTCCTTCAAAACTATGATATTTTAATACTTTAATTCACTTTAACAAAGCACTCACGAATATTAAAGTGACTGTCTTTGTTTTTTTAAGACAACCATTTAAAGAGCGAAATGCACGACTTACAAATAACGAAATTACCCTAACCCCAGGAGAGATCCATTCGGTTTCTTCTTTTTTTAATAAATCGCGTTTGGGTCGATAACTCAACAATTTTCAAAATAACCGATGTCAACAAAAAAGTCTGAAAGAAAAAAGGGGGAAAATGTATGCCTTAATAGGTCAAATAGTGGTCAAAAGTCACAGCTTGCTGGGACAAGGACCGAACAACTATTAAATCCGCGAACTCTAAGCCTTAAAACCATAATCTGATTAATCATGTTAAACAAAACGACATTTTTCTAGCTTGAAAAGTGTTTAATTATGTTATTTTCACCATTATTTCTGTTTTTGAATCGTTTCAGGCTCATTAATTGAGCTTCCCACTCCCGCCAATGCAAGAAATGGGCAAGCCACTTCCGTAGAGAAACAACAAATGAAAAACAAAACATTTTTAATAAATACAAATATAAATATCTAATTCATACTTTATCAGCAAAAGCTTTTACAGGGGACTTTTGAAAATCAGACCCATCACTCTACAAATGGAGCTAGGATCACTTTAGTTTTATGTTGAGCCTCTAAAAAAAAGAACTTTAGATATCTAATAAAGCCCATTTCTAAATAAATTATAAAACAGTTTTAGCATTAGTTTTGCAGCAAATTAAAAATCAAGTACAAAAAATTTAATTTTGATAAAGAATCAATATGGTCGGCAAATATCGGAAAAAATTGCTCTTCCAATGATTTACCTCAGCAGTGAGCTGAACAGATGCTTCCTTCAGAGCAGCTTCCCCTTCCTTTACACTTCCATCCTCACTTGCTTCAGATATCTTAACATAGTTTATATACACTTCCCCTTCTTATACACATCCTCTTCTGTGACACTTCCCCTTTCTTGACTCTTCCCATTTCTTGACCTTCCCCTTTCTTTACACTTCATCTACTGTTACACTTCCCTTTCCCTTACACATCCTCTTCTGTGACACTTCACCTTTCTTGACACTTCCCATTTCTTGACCTTCCCCTTTCTTTACACTTCCTCTACCTTTACACTTCCCTTTCCTATACACTTCCCCTTCATTTACACTTCCGTCCTGACTTGCTTCAGATATCTTAACATTGATTATATACGCTTCCCCTTCTTATACACTTCCCCTTCTTTTACACATCCCCTTCTTTTACACATCCCTTTCCTTGACACTTCCCCTTCCTTGACACTTTCCCTTCCTTGACACTTCTTTTACACATCTCCTTCCTTGACACTTCCCCTTCCTTTACACTTCCTCTTCCTTTACACTTCCGTCCTCACTCGCTTCAGATATATTAACATAGTTAAGATTCACTTCCCCTTCCTTTACACTTCCAACCTCATTTGCTTCAGATATCTCAACATAGCTTATATACACTTCCATCCACACTCGCTTCAGATATCTTAACATATATTATATACACTTCCTCTTTATTTACACATCCTCATCCTTGACACTTTCCCTTCCTTGACACTTCCCCTTCCTTTACACTTCCCCTTCCTATACACTTTCCCTTCCTTCACACTTTCCCTTCGTTTACTTTCTCCTTCCTTTACACTTCCCTTTACTTTACACGTCCCCTTCCTTTGCACTTCCCCTTCCTTTACACTTACCCTTCCTTTACACTTCCCCTTCCTTTACACTTACCCTTCCTTTGCACTTCCCCTTCCTTCTTTACACTTACCCTTCCTTTACTTACACTTACCCTTCCTTTACACTTCCCCTTCCTTCTTTACACTTACCCTTCTCTTTACACTTCCCCTTCCTTTACACTTACCCTTCCTTTACACTTCCCCTTCCTTTACACTTCCCCTTCCTTTACACTTTCCCTTCCTTAACACTTCCCCTTCCTTTACACTTCCCCTTCCTTTACACTTTCCCTTCCTTTACACTTACCCTTCCTTTACTACCCTTCCTTTACACTTACCCTTCCTTTACTACCCTTCCTTTACACTTACCCTTCATTTTCACTTCCCCTTCCTTTAAACTTCCTTTTCCTCTTTACTTCCTCTTCTTTTACACTTCCTCTTTCTTTACACTTCCACTTTCTGAACACATCCTTTTTCTTTACATTTCCTCTTTCCTCACATTTCCCCTTCCTTTTCACTTTTAACTTACAATAAGAAGAATATTTCAACATTATTCTGGTTAGATTTATATTTACAATAGTGGGTTTGCTGTGGGGGGGATTTTACTCTTTGTGAAATATGATACAAGTCCATTTTTCTTAAATTCTCTTTGTTTAACTTCAGTCATACAACTTCAATAGTGAACTCTAAGTAGGTTGGACATAATATTTTGAATTAGCAAAATAAGGAAATCCGCTGACTACCTGACTCTCCTGTATGTCCAAGCTCTTGAATGCTTGTGTTAGGGATTTGCCCTTCCTGGAGAAATCTGTGTTCATCCCAGCCTCCAGGCTGACAGGATAGCTGGACAAGGACATAGGGGCTACACAACCCATTCCTAAACATGAGTTAAACAAACTTTTCATTTGATTTGCAACATTAGGTATCTACGGATCAAGTGGCAAAAATTCAAATATTTGACTGGTAAATCAATTTTCTACGTAGTAAACAATGGCGACAACAAGACTTTTTTAGAGGAAAAAAATGAGTAAAAGAAATTTTGTCCATTTTTTAAATAGAATATTCATGAACCTTTTTTGACAGGACGGATCATAAAACATTAGTGCTGTAGATCCGGATCCGCCAAAAAAATGCATAAACACGGATCCGGATTCAAGTGGTAACTTACAAAAAATCAAGTTGCAACATGCAAAAAAAGCAGAAAAAAAACATGAAAATCTAGAAGATGAGAAGGAAATGAAAAATGTGTAGACTTGTCTCCAAAATTACCTGTATCTAGAACACTTTTGGTTCGACGTACGTTCCTCCCAGACTTGGTCTGATTCAACCTAGGGATAGAAAAAAAGAATAAAGATTAAGAAAAAAAAATTATTAAAGAAAAGACGCAGATAAAAATAAAACATAAAAAATATCATTTAGTACACAGTGACTAATATGACGAAAAAAAGTTTAGAAATTTTCGGAAAATAGGGGAAAAAAGTTTCAGACGCACAAACCCCTCGCCCTCCCCCCCTCCTTAATTTTTTCCGTAGGTTAAAGGAACATTCTGTCAATCATGGCGAGAGCTGTTCCAGGTTCAGGTTTTTACCTTCTCCTGTTTCCCAGCTGAGCTAGGTTAGGATCCAGGGTTGGAAGTATCTCCAAGCTACCGGTTACAGGCTGTAGAGGGTTTATCCCGGCTTCACTCCGCACACTCTGAGCCAGGTTAGAGATATTGGAGTACCGTCGGGTACCATCCACTCTTCCAGCTCCTGTATCAATCAATCAATCAATCAATCAAATAACTCAAACTGAAGCAATTTGTTGACAATATAAGAGATCAAATTTCACAAATGGGAGATAAACTTTAAAAATGTTAAATAAACTTTTTAAAAAACAGATAATTTAACAAAAACAATATTTCTGGTAAACCCCTGATTACCTGGCATCGTAAGCTGACTACTTGTACTAGAAAATGATACTTCTCCCTGCGATGCATCGAAAGAAACTCCTAAAAACATGATGAAGAAATTCTAAAAGAACTGTGTGAAAGATCGATTCTGATTGAGGACTCAGGAATTGCAACGTTTAAATAGAATTTGTTAAGTACGTTCCTGGGGTCCGAGGACCAAATTTAATGAACTGAAAATCACCAGTTTAACTTTGAATCTGAAATTCAAATCCTTCCTTAACTTCTATTACTTTGAATCAGTGGTTCAACCGGCGGCAATTGATAGTTCAGCGACTTGGCTCAAATTCATCAATTTTGGTGTCCTGGTATATACTTGTTTTTGTGCATGTTATCACGATTGCAGAATTAGCGGCAAAAGGAAGGATTGGATAATGACATCAACCGGCAGATTTATCCAGTCATTTATTTTATTTACTCTATACAATCCGAAGATAATAACTTTTGGAGAGTTTTGGGCTTAGGACAATCAACCCTAGTGCATAAGGGACATTTTCCCCTATCCTTAACATCAAAACAGTCTTGTACTTTGTACTAATGGTACAGTAATTAGCATTTAGAACAAAACTTGTCCAAAGGAAAAAAAACTTCTTATTTTCATGACATTCAACATTTTTCAACATTCTCATTTTTGATCAAAAATTTTTTTCAGTTTCTACAAGTTTTTTCTTTCTTTAAATGCCTATTAACCCCAAAAAAAAATCATTTAATTTACCTTATTCAGCGAAAACCCCCTTAAAAAATATAACTTCAGGTAAAATAAATGATTTTTAACAGGGTGGGAGTTAAAAATGATTTTTTAACAGGGTGGGGGGATAAAAATTTTTTGGGGAAATATACACCACTGTCAATCTATTTTGAAATAAGGACCTAGGCAACAGCAAAAGACTACAATACATACACATTTTAAAATTTTTAATAAGTAACAACATTTTAGTGGTTTAGTGCAAGTTAAATTATAAGAACGGCCATTGTACCTCTTTATTAAAGGGACTTGTCGTCATAAATTTAAATGACACTCCATAAAAAAGCGGAGTATGCGCGATTCACAACAGTACCCTTGAAATCTGAATCTGATTTATATAATGTGAAAGATAATGTTGTTTGTCTGGGTTGAAAACTCTGATAATTTATCAATTGTGACCGAAGAAAGAAATGCGTAGGTCACTTTCAAAGAGAATCATAGAAAGGAAAAAGAATGAATATATGATTTATTCTCGGGGTACCAATGTGAAACGGACGTGCCGCTTTATTAATGGATTAAACTACGTTTACAGTCCCTTAAGCTGTTCATCAATTATGTTAAGAGAAGACCGAGAAAATCTCAAAAACTACAAATGCGGGAAAATATTAGATTTACCTGCTGACTGTTTGGATTCGTCAAGAATGGTTTGAGCGTGGGCTTTGTGGTTTTTAGTCTCTTCGTCTACTAGTATCACAACATCCCCACTCTTACTATCAATATCTATCACCTTAATTATAGTAAAAATAATAACAAACATTAACAACAAAAACAACAATAACAACAAAAACAATAATAACAACAATAACAACAATAACAACAATAATAACAATAACAACAAAAACAACAATAACAAAAAAACAATAATAACAACAATAACAACAATAAAAACAATAACAACAGTAACAACAATATGTAAAAACAACAATAACAACATTAACAACAAAACAACAAAAACAACAAAATAGAAAAAAAATAAAAACAACAAAAACAACAATAGTCACAATAGTAACAATAACCATAATACCAACAAGAAAAAACGATCTATAGAAAAAAAATCACAACGAGAACAATCTTGCATTTCTTAAAATACATATCTAATTCTGAAGTGCTATAAATAAAAATAAACAAGTTTTCAATCCTTTTTAGGTCTGGAGTAACGAGGTCACAAAGTTCCCATAATTCCGCATGAAACGAAAATAGAATGCTTTTAATTTTGAAAAATAAAAACTTCTTTTCTACCTCGTCAGGTTTAGGCAAGGGTAATGAGTCTGTAGTCTCCTCCCCTCCAACTGCTCCCCCTGGCTTCATGTGAACATCAACCTTCAAATCTAAACAGCAGGTATATATATTCGAAGAATTACACCGCCTTGACAGGGGTCCATATAATTCCATCCAATACGATCCCAAATGTTGATTGATTGATATTAGGGGCAGAAATTAACCAGTGTTATTGTAAACAATTGGAAGTATGATGTCAAGTTGTAGAAAAACATTTGATACTGCAGAATGTAAACTACAAGGGAGTGTTTATTTTTCATAAATCATGATTTATTCTTATCTCTTATCTCTCTTTATTACTGTTATTTAACCCCAAATGCAGTACACGTTTCTGAAGAGTAGTACACGTACACAAAAATCTTGCCAACGTTCACAATGACGCCGAAAATGTAATTTTCATGCCCCTAAATGAACTTTAAAACCCCTATGGTATTAGGGATTAAAAAAATGGAATAATCTCGACCCCTGCAGTCTTCTTTGTATGTTGCTTGTATAACTAACTCTCTTCCAATTCCGAGTGACAAAGCGCAATTGGAAAGATCGACCCCCCTTATACTAGAGTGTCCCAAAAAAACTCATTATTTGAAGTGATAGGGGTCCACGGACCCGGACCCAAAGGGATAAATATCAACCTTAAACTATAGAAAAATAATTTTGCTCCAAAACCCTGAACTTTAAATGTTAGCTTAAAAGTCACCGAGAAAGAAGAAGAAATATTTGAGAATTCTTTACTTTGAAAAAAAATCAGTAAAATCAGTAAATCTTTTAAAAAGATGTGTGACCTGGATCCGGGTCCAATTAATTTCAGGGCGGATCCAGGAAACAGATCCGCGTCAAAATGAAATGGGTCCTATGCACTGCTGATAAGTAGCTAAGGGGATGTAACCTACCAAATCTGCTCGAGTTCCTGTGAGAATCTCTAACTCCTTCTCCTCCCTCTGGATCAGGTTCAGGGTTGGATCTCCTCCTGGGGTCTGGAGTACCAGCTCTACCCCCTCCCAGAGTAGACATTTCCTAAACAAGATTCATTCAGGAAAGCGCAAACAACATACATAAATCTCAGAAGATTGGGACATTCCTGGAATGCTGGGACTGTCCCAAAGACCCAGAGTCCCAACACTATGAGGGTTATTTCTCAATCTCATAGACCCAAATGCCTTGGACAGTCCCAGGACTGTGAGACTGTCCAGATGGGAACATTGGGACTGTCCAAAAGACCCATAGTCCCAACTCCATGGGGGTTATTTCTTAATCTCAGAGACCTAAAAGCCAGAGACAGTCCTGGACTTAAGGAATGTCCCAGAAGCCCGGGATAGTCCTGGGACATTGGGACTGTCCTAAAAACACAGAGTCCCAACACCATGAGGTTTATTTCTCTATCTCAGAGACCCAATTGCCTGGACAATCCCAGGACTGTGGGACTGTCCCCGAAGCCCAGGACAGTCCCAATTTAAAGGTTTTTGACACTTCCTTTCGGCCCCTCTTTTTCTATTTGCTACATTCGGGGACAGCTGATGATTTTTAGAGGAAAATAAAATAATTATGAGGGAAAAAATATCAATTAAAATGAAAAAACGTCAGTTTCATTCCTAAAGCCTTAGAGGGCAGAGCTCTGCTCAGAAAGTACCCCTGGCTGGGTACTAAGTCAAAAAATAGTAATAACAAAGAGCTAATATGTCTAAAACTAAACCGGTTTTTTACCCACTCCACTTGGCGACAGAACCCTTTCTGGGAGGGCCCTGCTTCACAGCTGACAAAAAGAGACAACTCTCCTCTACCTACCGTCTAATCTTCTCACAAACAGTGAAATAAAACTCGAGGACATTTCTCTGTTGGATCCTGCACACCTCTACCTCTGAGTGGTCACATGATTATCCTTCATTGGAATGGCAACCCTCCTTTCAAAGGAAAGTAAAAATGTGCGGTCCAAAGCAGGGAAGCTATTGCTCCCTCGCAGCAAATAAAAACTAACTGTAAGTTCTAGAAAATGCAAGTACACAGAATGTGCAGTGCTGAGGCTGCAATTACAATTAAGAAAAACAAACACAAAACAGAGAGGGGAACATCTATTTAAGGGTAATGGGGCAAAGACAGGAACTTGTAAATATTCTTTCAAAAGCAGCGCCATAAATGGACGGGCAAAGGGTAGCATGAATAAGAGAACCTGCATAAGTGCAGACANTGATAAACCTCTTCTGTATTGAAGAGTATGTGAAGATGTAATATCTTTAATATCAACCTGATAAACCTCTTCTGTATTGAAGATTATGTGAAGATGTAATATCTTCAATATCAAACTGATAAACCTCTCCTGTATTGAAGAGTATATGAAGAGGTAATATCTTCAATATTAACCTGATAAACCTTTTCGCATTATCTTTAATATTAACCTGATAAACCTCTCCTGTATCGAAGAGTGTATGAAGAATCCTGTTCAAGGATTTGATGAGCAGGAAAACTAGGAAAACGGATCCATTGTAGATCCAGGTGAACCAGGATCCGGCAGGAAGATACTAAAATAATTTCAATTAATTGTCAGCTCAATATTTTTAGAAACTCAGGTGTCGGAAAAGACTTTTTAGAGTCAAGAGTGTTTTTTCATTGACGTGGGAAATTCACTTTATAAAAAAAAAAATTTTAACGCAAAAATTTACGTGATTGCAGAAGCCCCCCCCCCCTCCTCCTTCTAACAAGTTGAATGCCCGATTCACAATAACACCCTTCAGTAAGCCACTGTCTGAGTAAAAATAAAGTAGATATCGTAGTTTATCTTGAAAAAAAAATATGTATATTATTCTGGCAATTATATATCAAAGGTTTCCTTACCAGATGAATAGAGAAAGGAAAGCAAAGGAAGAACAGCCAGAGATAGAGATGAACTGTGTTTGTAAATGTCCTAAAAAAGTTAATGTTTAAGCCTTTGTCAAAATTTATTTATAACAAAGAGCCTTTTATCTTTTCTGCGTGGCCTGAGAAGAAAGGAGTGACCCGACCCGTCAGGACCCCCTGAGATAATGAGATGTGAGTCTCAGTGCAGGCAGAGATGGGCATCGCTTTTTTGAAGGAACGAAATTTTTCGAGGAAAATGTTTTTGTTCAGAAAAAAAAAGAACGATGGACGAAAGATATGAAAAAATGATCGTTTATTAAAAACGAACGGGGGAAAAAACTATTTTTTACTGAACGAACGATTTTTTGGAACAAAATTTTAAAAAAACTCAAGTTTTTTACTGAATGAACTATTTTTTCGAAAATACACACTTCTGGTATAACTATAGTTCCTGAGCTGTTTTGATAAATTTCAACAGCCCCTTTACCCCTCTCATTACTTCTATTTATACTGGACAAGGATTCAAAGCTTTTTATCCATCTTTGGTCAATGAGCACAAGAAGCGATTGAAAACTTTGATTTGTGTCGCATATAAAAAAAAATGTTTGTGACATACAAAATCAAAATTCGAAAAACCCTGCTTTATTATCTCGAGGTTTAAAATGGTGGTTATTCCAGATTATTTGAATATCGTAACAAAGAACTATTAAATGGTCTTACTTGTGATAAGAATCATGATACCAGCCTCCAGTAAGCGAGGCCCAAATCCCCTGCCTCGTTTGTCGGGCGAGGTCGAGTAATGAACCCATCCTCTAAACTCCCTCCGTGAAAACTATAAATTCAGCATCATCTCTGAAAAATGGATTTTCAGACTCCAACTCACATTACGCAGAAAAAAAATTGAAAACTAAAAAACAAAGATTTTTTAAATGTTCTCAGGAAATAAACAGTTGAGAGACTCAACTTGAGTTTGAGTTACACAAGAGTTAATGAGGCAAACGGTGGAGTTTGAGTAGAGTAGTGGTCGGTTTCGGAGTTTAGATAGGCTTAATCTTGAAATGTAGACCAATCAGAGAGAATACAATACATTTGAGATCCTGAACCAGATAGTAGAAACATCTGAAAATAGAAATATAACATTAAATTAATTCTTAATTGTTTCTATCAAATGAGAAAAAATTACCCCCAATGTTTATATTTTTAAGAACCCCTCCACTTCCTCTTAGAAAATCATTATTTTCGTTGAGATGTTATTTATGTTCATTAAGGGTTTAATTCGCTGAACCGGGGGAAATAAAATGTTTAAGGGAAAATTAATTTTCTTTTTAAATTCTCAAAAATGAATTCCCCGATCCCCTGTATGTACCTCAGGCCGTCCGGGTCCCTGGACTGGTTGACGTCGACGAGACTGCCGATTTTGCTGGTCGTGAATGAGATGTGCTCGTCGCCAATCACAATCTCGAGCTCCTGCCGGCCAACACGATCAGGCTGCGGCCAGAGTGCGTCATCTTCAGCCATGATCTCACTGTCTTCGACAATCCTTCGGAGTTCGTTTATCACCTAGGTGAAAGGTTAATATTGATTTAAATTTAATTAATGACAACCGAGCTTTTAAGCTCTAAGTTTCTTTCTTTGATTATGTTTAACTTAAAAACTCAATACATTTATCTGAGACTGAATTTTAGAGGGAAAAAACATCAACGCCAGATCAACTTTTAAAAAGATTTTCAAAGATATCAGAATGGTGGGTTCTGAAATAAGTTCCCTAAGCAAGTTTTTTTTGACTTCTTTTAGATATTTCACCAATTAAAAAGTTAAAAAATCAAAATCATTGATAAAATATTCCCACAACCTCTATTTTTGGAGATTTTTTATAGACATTTCATAAATAAATAAGTACTTGCTTAAAATCTCAGTAAGTAAAAAAGAATTCTAAGAATAGATTTTATAGGGAAAACCCTAGGACAAACTCTTGAAACGATTTTCATAGATTTCAGTTCAGGGTGGGGGGATTCTGAAAAAAATTCTTGAAGTATAAAACAAAAGAAACAAACTTTGTTATTTCTTATGTTTCTTCACCATTATTATTTATTTTGTCCAAAAAAGATGTCCTCCATTTCGGTGAAAAAAAAATGATGAAACATATTATTTTAGAACAGGGAAAATAATTTTGTTTTTCTAAGGGGAGAGGTATACCTTGCTTTGAACGAAGGCCTCCTTCCTGATCATTGTATCGTTCTTGTAGTTGGAGTTGTTGGCGTACCTGAAATGGCCAAGGCCAGGGGGTGTTATAGGCTAAGAAAAATCGAACGTATTTTTAAAAATTTTAATTCAGATTTTTTTCTTCGGGCAACGCCGGGCCCTACAGCTAGTATTATAGCATATTTACATTTATAAATCTAAAGCTGTCAAAACAACCGGGCCAAATTGACTGATTTTGTTAGGGCGCCCATGGGTGTAGGTGACAAAGGTTAAAAACGCCGGGCGCTTTAGCTAAAATAATGTTTTTTTACCATTCGCATGTAAACAGCGCGGCGATAGTAACTATGACTTTGACAAAAATAAATCACACATTCTATAATATATGATCGATTTTATATTTATATATATATATTATTATAAAAGCAAGATTTCATAGACAGAAAATTTCAAAAAAAGAAAATACAAAGAATGAGACTTCTCTTCATAGATATTGTGAATTAATTCTCTTATTTTTAATCATCTGTTTTCTATATTTGTTTAGTTTTACGATTAAATCAAACAGAGTTTACTCTGTCATGTATGGTTAATCTAAAAATGTTTGAAATGCCAAACCTCAAACAAAAATTGAATGTAAGTCTTTTTTTTCAATCCTAACAGCTCCACCTACCTAAGCTTGCCATCAGGCCTGAATTCAAACTCGAGGAACTCGTGTCCAAACTTCCCCTTGTGTCCAACATAATACCGGAGATAGAAATCCTGACTCATTCTGATAAACTGATCTGAAATGGTTGTTCACCCCCTCCTCCTTCTAACAAGTTGAATGCCCGTTTTACAATAACACCCTTCAGTAAGCCACTGTCTGAGTAAAAATAAAGTAGATATCGTAGTTTATCANCCGAGCTCAGCGGTTCGAGCAGGTAAAGGGGCTACACGCATGAATATGCCCATGCGATACTTTTAATATATGCAGTCAGTCATGCAAAATCATTGATAGGTAGTGGAGGGCCGCCCGGGGGGGGGGGGGTCCAAAGCTGGTCCCCAAACAAAAATTACTTAACACGCAAATAAATTTCAAATAAAATTTCCCAGTGTTAAAATTAAATAATAAAGTGTAAATTAAGTTTTTAAGGAGCGTGCATTTATTTATTTTATCAAAAAAAAACATAATTGAACGCAAAATGCCGCTGATAAATATAATATCTGAAAAAAGCGGTAAACAGAAGATGTTAAATGTCGTCTATTATTTCAATAATTCGGGAGAAGTAATTTTTGGTGGATCCGCATTTGAACTACTGCCGTTTGAACTATGGTACGTTTGAACTATTGCTCGTTTGAACTATTNTTTCATTAATAATATTTTAATAGTTCAAATGAAAATAGTTCTAATGAACTAAAAAATAGTTCAAATGAGTAATATATTTACTCGTTTGAACTATTGTTCATTTCAACTACTCACGTGGTCCCACGTGCAGTAGTTGAAATGAACAATAGTTCAAATGAGCCATAGTTCAAACGGCAGTAGTTCAAATGAAATAGCACCTAATTTTTTGATGGTGCTATTTAGTTTGAACTATATTACCGTCCGTCTGAAGACGGATGGGCAAGAAGATATGCCCATCCGACCTGCAGCTGTCGTAGGTCAGATGTTACAGTAGGTCGGGTGGGCATGTGTAGCGGATGGGCAATAGGACGGATGGGCAGTAGAGCGGATCAACATTACCCCGTCTGAACTCATAACTTTTTGAACCATTTGGTCGTTTGAACTATTGCACGTGGTACCACTAGTAGTAGTTCAAGCGACCAAAAGTTCAAAAAAAAAATTCTGTGCGCATTTGAAATTGTTTTTGCTCATTTGAACTATTAAAAACAATAGTTCAATTGAGCCGAAAAATATGTACAGGTGAATCCCAAATATATGAATAAATAGCAAGAGTTTTCATAATGTCATATTACATATTTAGGATCAAATGCCGCGGAAAAATGAGTCTTGCCACCGGCGCCATTTTTTTATTTAAAATTTTAAAATTCCACTGAAGACTTTCATACTTTTATTAAAGAACAAGATTTTAATCCAAGATCCATAGTTCTCATTGAAGAACAAGATTTTCATCGGAGACGCAAGATTTTATAATTGGAAAAACAAGATTATTATTGGTCGAGATATAAGATTTTCATTGGGGATATAAGATTTTCATCAGAGATACAAGATTTTCATTGAAGCACAAGATTTTCATCAGAGATACAAGATTTTCATTAGAGATACAAGATTTTCATTGAAGAACAAGATTATCATTGGTCGAGATATAATATTTTCATTGTGGATATAATTGGTGTTCATCAGAGATACAAGATTTTCATTGAAGCACAAGATTTTCATCAGAGATACAAGATTTTCATTAGAGATACAAGATTTTCATTAGAGATACAAGATTTTCATTGAAGAACAAGATTTTTATTAGAGATACAAGATTTTAGTCGGAGACACAAGAATTTCATTGGAGATACAACATTTTCATTAAAGAACAAGATTTTCATTGCAGGAGATCCAAGATTTTTATCCAGAGACACAAGATTTTCATGGGAGACACTAGATTTTCATTGAAGGACAAGATTTGCATTGAAGAACAAGATTTTCATTGGAGACTCAGGGTTTTCATTAATAACCCAGGATTTTTATTGCAGCGCCCAAACTTTTCACCAGAATTTTCATTGGATAAAATTTTAAATAGTTGGTTTTCATTCTGTGGGTAGGCTGGTAGCTCTGACATGAAAATCTGGGGTTCTCTGATTAAATTGTTAAGGTGTCCTCAATGAAAATGAACAGATCTGCGATGAAAATCTGGAGGTCTCCAATGAAAAGCTATATGGGTTTCCGATAGTGTTTCCAGTACCCGTATACAACGCGTAACACTTTCTAACACTTTCACAGGAGCATTACGCGAAATTACATGTTAAAATTATGTATACAAAAAGGAAAGTCTAGTTTCGCGTATTTAAGGCGTAATTACGCAAAAATACGTGATACGAAAACCATTCCGTGATTAGTAGAACATATTAATTCTCAGAAATGAAAATAGCGGAAAAATATATGTAAGGATATGCGGGCTACAACCATGTCCAATCTGATTGGATAATTTAAATGCTTATAATTTTGTTAACCATTAATTATAAGAACTCTGTAAAATGTCGTCTTCAACTCGAATCTCCTGTCGGAGACAGCCAAACCAAATTTTCAGCCCGCAAATTCCTTTGTACTCCATCTCACGGAGCTTGAAAACTTTTTGTTATTGTGAAATCATTAAAGTTAAGCAAGAATATTTCATAAGAAGCATCAGTGAATTTCGTTAAATATTCAACTGTCATTTTTTCAGAAGTTAAAAAAACTTATTTCAATACTGATCAACAATAAGTTTCCCCCTATCACAACCTAATAAATCGTAAGATTTTTTCTATCATTAATATTCATTATAACATTGTTCAAATAACCATGACCTATAATTTATGTTATTTTTTAGGAATTAAAGATTTTGTTGTCGATTTTTCTGAGACGGGGTTACTCTGTTGTGTGTATTTGTGCGGCCTATCGGGAAAGAATTGTCCGGGGAAAATAAACATCCCCACCAGAATCCTAACTGGCCTATTATTCTGATTTGTCTAGCGTATTGCTGTTTTCCGTCAACAAATTTAAAGTTTTGCTAATTAGGCGTTATTAATGCAAAACTTCGTTAAATTACTTTGTAGAAATTACGCGAAATACGCTGTATTTTCCCGAAATAGAAGTTTCGAGATTACGCGTAATTATTACAAAATTTCGCGAAATTGCCCTGAATATAGCGTAATTTTGCGAAAATAAAGTTTTGCTAATTACGCCTAATTGTTGCAAAATTTCGCCAAATTACTTTTGGTTTCGCCAAAATTACCCGTAATCCTGCGAAATTACACAAAATGAAAATTATTTCACGTAACTACACGTAATTTCGCGTAAGTGAATAATCATTACGTTGGAAACCCTAGTTAGTAGTTTATGATGAGATGGCAAAGGGAGTCTAAGAGTAGACGGGTCTCCGATAGTACTCAAATAATATGATAATTTGAACTTTTCACTAACTCATGAAATTTATATTTTTGCTTCTGAAAACTTGTTCCTCAAATTTTAATCCATTTATAGAAAAACATGTTGATTGAATATCTTCAGGCATGCAAATAAAGCAGGAAGTAGGAAATTTCAATACATTTTAAATTTAACCATACTGCATACTATTGGATCACAACCCAATTTCCTTATATAAAACTGGAAATCAGATTGAGCAGACACACTTTTTCAAAGAGTAAAAAGCATGACTTGTGAATTGTGATGGGCAATAACAAATACTTCGTTCTTCTAGAACTTTTAAGGTTTTATACCCATCACAAAATATTAAAAGGTTTTTATATTTCAAAACTGTATTCAGATTCTGCAAAAGTTTGATTTTATCAAACTGCGCAAGATTTGTATTCCAAGAGAACCATATAAAACTGCAGAGAATAGAAAGACGACCTTGCAGTGTGTTTGATATTGTTACAAACCAAAAGAATTTACATGTTGGCTTATATTAATTACTTTTTAAGTAAAGTGGCTCTGTGAATCCACTAAGCATTGAAGCAATGCAAAAATGCTGTGTTACATATTCACTGGAAGATTGAAAATTACAATTTATGTCTAATAGTCTTCTTCCTATTTAACAGTTTTATGGTTTTCACTGTATACATAGAATAACAAACAAAAAAGACAATTGTTTAGAGCAGCTCAGAAAAGCAAATGTTTAGAAGAAAAAATTTAGTGAACGTTGTCAAATCTTATGGGAACCTTTTAAAAGTCCACTAACTAGTGACTACTGACTACTGACTACTGATTACTGACTAGTGACTATACTGACCAGTGACTACTGACTACTGACTTTTAAATAGTGACTTCTGAATAGTGACTTCTGAATAGGGACTTCTGAATTGTGACTGCTGACTATATTGATTAATGACGGATACTTTTACTTGTTCTAAAATAAATCTATTTTCTTTTTATATACCTTTAACAAGCAATTGTCAGAAGAGACAAGAACAACGTTTTACTGCTCAAGTCTAAATAAATACTTCTAGTTTATGTTAACGATAAGTATGTAATAATGAGTGTCCCATCACAGTAAAAACTAAGGGTCCACTGTCCAGGTTTTAAAGTCATCGAGCATTAACTTTGGAACCCATTTTCACTTCTTAAATGAAGATCTTTTTACATTTGTTATTTAAAACTTTTTTTACACCTTTAATCATTGACACAACAACATTGTTGGACATTATGTAAACTTTAAATATCACTATGTGAATATTAATCATTTAAAGTTTACATAATCAAGATGTTTTATGTAAAAGATAGAATCTAAAATGTTTCTAAACATTTTGTAATGAATAAATACTTTTACTTAGTATTCCCCATTGTAGAAGGTTAGTTTGTGTTGGCAGGGTGTCCAAACAGGAGTTGAGTTTCAGTGTACCTTTCTTCAGATTGAACATGTAAGATTTCCTGCAGATCATGTCAGATTTTTCAAGCACTGCCAGGCAGAGTAAATGTCCTTGTTTTACGACTGTTTCTGTATGTTATTTCCAGAAAGTTTCATTTTCAAAAGATACTTTTTCATTGACAGTTTTTTTATCATTTTTTGTAGCATTGATGTTAAAAAGCTTTGTCGTCCCACTCAGGCATTTCTGCGTGACCATAGTTCTCTAAATTTGGTTGTTGAAACATTTGTTC